ATCCCTGGAGGAGAAGGTTCAAGGAGACCAAGAGCTACTGCAGCAGCTGGAGCCCTTTCTGCAGGTGAAGCAGCAGTAGTTATGTAATACATTATATGCACAGCCACACATACAAAAGTTGGATCCAGGCCACTGTACATTTCTGGCACTGCTGACGCTAGCGCTGTAGAAAGTGACATCCATAAAAGTGTTTAACATTTTATAAATAAGAAGGTGTGTGCCTGATGTCTCAGAGTTCAGCAGAGAAGCTTCAGGACCTGAAGAGGCGCAGGCTGGATCTGCGTAAAGAGGGGAACGCTCTGATCGATTTCTTGTGTGAAGACAAGGACACCTTTAAGCTGGACGAGTGCTTCCGCATCTTTCAAGACTTCTGCATCAAGTTCAAGAAAGCTGTCAAGGTCGGCTTTAGTGAATGGATATTTGGTTTAATACAGCTTTTCATAGTTTTTGGCCCCATGGGTAATAATAACATTGTTCTCACATAGTTGTTTGCTGTGGTCTGGGAACACATCGCTGAAAAGACCTGGACAAGAAACACAATGAGACAATTAGACAGGTTGTAAAGAAAACCCCACTTTAGCCAACTTTATTTGGGGTTCTTTGTAAAATTATTATCCAAACTGTTCAACTTCAACTTCAACTTTCAACTTCTGCTTTAACTTTATTGTCTCCAGCGGGAAAATGGTCTCTCCAGCCAGGTAAAGCACAGAACACAGAATGACATCCTGATCCAGCGTTGGCTTAACATACCTCCAACATAGCATACCTCATTTTCTTGTGCAATGAGAGATTTTTACCAAAATTTCTTGTGCGCTCACTGTAGGTTTTAATTTCAAATTATATATAATCATTATATAATCATAGCTCGTGTTTCTTGGCCACTCAGATGTTGTGTAGTGATGCTATTCTCAGATCTTGCCATTACGCCACATGTACAACTTCACTCATTGTCGAATTAATGGAGACAGGAAGTAATTTATTCCAATGGGACATTGTTGGTCTAGTGCTCCCGTTGGATTAGCCAAACATTCTAAGCTTCCGTCCACATTATTGTGGCAGTTCTGTCCAATTCTGTCAAGCTGCTGTGTATCTTGGAGTAGGGATTGCACCCACAAAGCAGTCTGCTACAATAGGAGAGCAAGTTTTGCAGGTTCTGTTACTTTGATGAATATAATGATATGATTCCCAAAACTACAAAAGTAAGACCCATTTTGAAATACTGGGGCAATATCACTTAAGATGAGTGAATTTAGAGGTAAAAAGATGCATGTTCATTTCTTCTAGTCTGATTTGATCTTACCATCGTCCTGCCTGCGTCTTAACATTCTCCACCTTCCTTTTACTCTCAGGACAACGTGGACCGTGAGTTGAAGGAAGCTGCCAGACAGCGTCGTCTGAGGGAGTTGGAGGAAAAGCGTTTTGCTTGGTCGGGTACAGATAAGAGTGGTGTATTTGGTCGGAGCAGCAGCGAGAACGATGTAGAGATGCTCACTAAAGAAGGCCTGCTGGACTTTTTCCAGCAGAGGGCTCAGAGTCCACACAGCCCGCTGGGACGCTCAGCCAGCGCCCGCCGCCATCGCCACACCATGACCTCCATAGCAGACCGAGAACTCCAAGGATACCTGGAGCTATTTGGGGGCACTGGGGATCCCGCTGACTATTCTAAGTTTAACAGCCTACCTCGGTCGGGCCGCGCTTTGCAGCGCAGGACAACCCCCTGGATCTTAGCCCAGGATGACAACCGTGAGCTGGGCTGCGACAGACAGGTAACGTCTCCACATGCAGAAACTGAGCCTGTGAGTCCGCTGGCCAGGTTTTCCTCCTCTGGCTTAAATGATAAAGACCCCTACAACAACAATAATTACTCATCTGTGTCAGAAGGCAGCGTTCTGCCTCGGTCCTTGTGTGTCTTTAAGAAGCCCTTCCATCTTCCCGACCCAACAGTTAGCGGCCACTTGAATGTTTGTGTTGAGACGCACACTTTAGTTAGAGGTCCTCAAGCTTTTGACCTACCTAGTCCAAATAATAACAGTAATCATATGCACTTTGTCAACAAGGGGGATGTTGTGGTGACAGATTTGGAAAAGGAGAGACAGTCACCTCCCTTAAGTCTGGACTTCCTCCTGGATGATAACGTTTTTGAAAGAGGAGCAGATCCCAAGGCAGCCTGGGAAGGGAAAATAGATCCTCTCCCACAGGTTCGGGTCTCTCCTGAGAGAGAGAAAGAAGAGGAGGACAACAGTACATTTTCATCAACAACCTGTGATACACCCCTCCCACTAGATACCTCTGTATCCAATAAGAAACCAGTGTTTTATATACTTGACTGCACAGAAACAGACTGCTCTGTCACTTTGGATTACTCAGAGGTTGAAAGCTCGTCTCTAACGAAGGAGGGACTTTATTTCACAGCTGACTGTAGCAAAGATCAGGAGAGCCAACAAGATCCAAGCTCTCTATCCTCTAATTTGGAGTCTCCCAACGACCAGTCTGTTTCAACCAATGAGCTTTCAGCGACAAAATCTATGGACACAGCCTCCATGACTCCGTCTGCTTCCAAAGAAGAGTGGGACACGGACAGCTGTGACACCGCTGAGGGAAAACAAGGTGTAAAAGATGCACCGAGAAGCAGTAAAAAAACTGTGCATACAAAGGGCAAAGCTAACAAAGCGACTAAGTGCATTGGAGGTCGCGGTGTGCGAATGCTGACCAGCAACGAGAGCCAGGGTATGCGGAAGGTTGTGCCCATTAGCAAGCTTACAAGGACAGGTAGCAACAAGAGAGCAGAGAGACCTTTGGCGCATGACAGTGGAGAATCACGCCGGCCTCATCGTGACCAGAGCACCCCAGCGAGAGGAAGGAGTGAGAAGACCGCAAAACCTCCTCGTCACTCCAGTCTGCCTCCTGATGAGGCAAAAGCTTCAAGGGGTGGTAGCCTCACAGGTGGCTTTTCGAGATGGGCACGCGATTCAACACCCAGAAAGGCTTCCATCCACAAGCCGAGCGCCAAACCCCTAAGGAACATCCCCAAGCCAGTTCCTGAGGAGAAGATGTGCCGCTCCACCATGAGAGCCCTGGCACAGGCCCAAGCTCAGGCTCAGGCTGGAGCTTGCTCTGAGAACAGCAGCTCTCACACACTGAGCACAAAAAACACCTCAGATGTCCCCAACTTTGCCCGCAACACCGTAGCTTCATGTTCCAGGACCAAGAAGGAGCTGGTACCCCCATCCATCCCCTCAGTCCCTTCCGTCCCCACCACCCCGTCTCGCAGCCCCTCTCTTGTAAGTCGACGTACCTCGGTGAAGCAGAATAGGTTGCCACCCACAGTTCACGCTAACGAGGAGCGGCCCAAGGGGACAAACCTGCGACGAGTGCAAAGTGTGAAAGCGGCCAGTCGCAGCGCCTACCGCAGCGAGACTCCCACACTGCCTACGAAGCATGAAGATATCCGTAAGACTGGTAGCTTTTCTGAAAAGTCTGTCCAGTCTAGAGACTCTGTGACGACAAGCAGAAGTGCTAAACCAACCTGGAAATAAATATAAACATAGCTAGTGTAGAAAGAGAGACTTTCTCCCTCAGTTTGATGTAAATTGATATTCACTCTTCTTTTCCATCTACAGTGCAGATGTATCCTCTCATATCATGCAAAAGACTGGAGTAAGAAAAAATTTCAGCTATTTCACCTTATAGGGTTCCTCCAATAGCTGACTCTGTATCAGGTTTATGAATTGCAAAGTGCAAGATGCAATGAACTGGTTTCACGTGTTCCTATTTTGATCGTACAAAAAAGCTATTGTTTTCGCAACTTCCTTTTTATCAAAGGGGGGTATAAACTAAAATGACAAATGGCAAATTGCTGTTTTTACACAGGAGCCTCTTTGCCTGCTTAGCTGTCTATATACTGTATATGCTAGTGTATGTGATTATGTTGATGTTGAACACTACTGGCTATATAATGCTGCTAATTAGCTCCGACAATTTGAGACTGAGTTCATATGTTTCATTCAGGGTTACAAGATTTGTTGTATCTTAACTTGCTGCTGTTAATGGTGTCTTAGGGGTTTGCATCCTCCTGTAGAGTATCGCTCTGTTTGCTTATTGGTTTCTTTGCTTGATACCTCAGAAAGATCGCTGTGGCCTTTTACCAGCAGAGAAAGTAGAATATGTTAATTTGGTTCTGCATGATAAAGATGTAGACAGTACCTGATAAACTGGTTTGAACTGCAGTGTCACTTTTTACAAATCCCTGGTATATTAATATTACTACAACATATAAAGTCACAGATTATAAGCCACAACTGTGGTACTTGTATGTGTCAGTAGTTTGTAACTGTGTTAGAACTCCTCCATAATATCATGGAGTAGATGTGCACTTAGGAAGTTTTCTGTATACTGTAGGCTAATACATGATCAATGTAAATGCTTTGAAACAAAAGCATTGAACGCGCCTAAAACAACACTGAAATGATCATCAGTCATGTGATTGTTTTGTCACACTGGTCTAATTTTTCTACTGTGAATGTAGTCATCTGATTTTTTCTCTAGGCCTGCACTTTTCAAGATTAAATTACAAAAATTGCCCTAACTGGTCATCATTCAGCCTTGCCCCAGATTGTGCCTTTCATGCATTACCGTTACATTTAAGTCACAGAAATAAGCATCTGTTATTCCAAAAAATAATTACACAGTGATCTTTGAAAAACCCAGAAGGTTGTTTAACAACACTTAGCCTACTGCTGTTTTGATGGTATTTGCAGAATCCTCAAAGATTTTTCTAATCATGTGGAGGATAAAAATATTACTGGACAATAAAAAGTTCCCCAAATTGCGACTGTGAGCCAGAAATGGAATATGTCCTTGCTCATTTTCTATCATTATTTTGTATAGAAACATCAAATACATTGTAACATCATATAAGACATATATCATTTTTGGCTACCACCTTTGTTTTGTTTCTTAAAATATTCTGCTCCATGGTAATACCATATATGCAGTCCATTTACAATAAAAAAATTGTGATTTTAAACCCTGTTCTCAAGTTGCACCAATGTTTCGTAATCCAAAGATAGTAGCTGGTAATTACAAATTTCCCTGCTCAGTTTGTACAATGTGAAACAAAAAAGTTTTATCAGTTATATTTGGCCATATTTATCTTACATTGGATTGTTTTTGTCATACGAAACGAGCACTGACTAATATTATTTCCAGCTACCTGGACAGGAAATATACCAGCATCTTAAGTGATGGGTCAAAAATCTTTTCCGTCATGTAGCCGATGGAAACGTTATTCATCCAAAGAGTCTTTGAGGATTCTTGAAATACCTTAAGAACACCTGTGTGACTTTTCAAAGATCACAAATTATTAAGATTATTTTGTGTAAATAGATGTTAAGCTCCATGACTCGACTATAATGGTAACATGTGAGAGGCACAAACTGGGGCTACATTCAGCCCTGTTGACCATTTCACACCACTTGCCTTTTAACCTGCAGTGTGCCATTGCCTTGATGGCAGCAACACTCACAACAGTGCATTGCCTTAAAGCTTAATGTAGCCGATCCATCATCAGTATAAACTCCCTGATTGTAAAAGGAGAGTAGAAACTTTTCCTGCGTTCCATCACACTGAACCGAAACAGTGACTCCGCTAGATTCACTTTGTAAATAATGTAAAGACATAGTATTTTTCTGACTCAGTATGTTTACATAGCATTAAAAAATGAAGGGTAAAAGAGTGACGTTTGTGAGCTCACGTATATTTTAAAATGGTCAGATGTTGATTCCTGACTTACAGTGTGTTGACATGCTGTGGGTGTCTTCCTTTTCCTTGTAATGCAAATGAAGTTGATTAACCAATGGCACAAAAGGCCCAGTGTGACATGCCACTGTGTGTGTGTGTGTGTGTGGCCTGCAAGTGTCAAGTAAAGTAATGGACGGCTGCGACTAACGATTACTTTCATTATTGATCAGTCTGACGTATATGTTCTTGGTTAATCATTGGAACCCAAAGATATTCACTTCACAATCATTGCATAAAAAATTACAACATTATTTGATTGTTAAAATTGTTGCTTGTTATTTCATTGCTGACTGATAAATGAATTAATCAGCTAATTAAGCTCTAAATTAATGACTTTACTTTTGAAATTAGTATATATCCAGGAATGCTCCAGCTCATGAAATTTCACTGCCTAAAATAAAGTTATCTTTGATTTGAGTGTGAAAATTCACTATTGAAAGCTCTGGGAAAAGCTAGTAAGTGGACCTTGAGTTAAGATTGTCAAACCCATTCAAGATATTTTATAGTATAGAAGGAAGTATATCCTCGAATCCTTGAAATCACAAAGATTGTTGAAATTAATGTACTCTAACAGTTTGTAACTTGAAAATGACAACTTCAAACCTAAGAAAAATGCATTTTTAGCATACGTAACACTAAATTTGTCACTGGGTTTGTAGAAAAATGTCTCCCTACAAGGTTTAATTGTAGAATCTGTTTACATTTGGATTGGATTCTGGATTGGGTTGTTAAAAAACCTTGACACAATTCATATGATACGTCCCAATCTTCTGATGCTGTCTGTCCTTAGAGTCCTCCTTTGTGTATCCCACAATGCCCCCTGCTGCCCTCTTTTTAACAGCCCAGAGTATAACAATGGATGCCCTTTACATTACATCTGACTGGCTTACAGCGGTAGAGTTGCTGTGGAATTTGGATACTCACTTGCCCATTTATACCACAACTTCCTTGTTACAGTGGTGGTTACCATAGTAACAGTCCAAACATCAATTACCATCATTTACTAAAGACACTGTAAACCTAAAAGGTCAATGCCATCCACTAATGTTTGTCACATTACAACCCCCAGAGAGGCCTAAACTGACATTGTTTCATGTGACTCTGCCCAAATCACAATATGTGACTTTATATTATTTAGAGTCAATCTTTTTTTAGGCTTTTGTAATTCATTACTCGACAAATTTGCTGGCTAGCTGGTTCTATAGTTGTACTATGTATTTCCTCAATATATGTTTCACCAAATGATTAAATGTGTCTTGTCGCATTAATTCCCCCAATTGATGCCTTTTGTACACTGGAAAGGAACAACTACTGTGTTTTTTGTTTTGTTTTTTTACTTTGTGATGAGAGTCTTGACATATCTACTTTTATTTTCACACCTGGGGGAAAATATGTGCTCTTCTGCTCTCCCTGGTCTTTTACAATCTGAAATCTCACAATGAAAAAGAAAAAAGACTGATCACTACGCTGAGCAAATGATCATCTCTGATCACTTGACCACAGGGCTGCAAATTGTGTATTGCAGTTTATATTTCTGGCTGTAACATCTAATAAATAAATAAAATCACATGTTGCTGTGTAAACTGAAAACTTGTTCTTTGTGTTTCTTTAAACTTATTGGTCATCCTAAGAATGGATGCTCTAAAGAAAGGGAACAACTAATCTCCAATAACCTAAAACAAATGTGCAGTTATTTGTATTGAAACACTCCTGGCAGCAAAAAAGTAAAAAACCCTTCAATCTGTGAACATCAGTGGTGGAAGAAGTACTCAGGTCCTCTACTGAAGTAGAAGTAGCAATACCACACTGTGAAAATACTCTATTAGAAGTAAAAGTCCTGCGTTCAAAACTTAATTTAAGTGAAACTATGTGAGTATTATCAGCTAAATTTACTTAAAGTTTCAAAAGTAAAAGTACTCATTTGGCCTGAAAAGACTCTGTGTTTTACTATTATATATTTCTGGATTAATATTACTGGTGCATTAATGCGTGTGTTGCATTTTACTGCTGTAGTGTGCGAATGTAAGGGTATGAAAGTAACAAAAGCTGTCTCCCTCTGAGATGTAGTGGAGTAGAAGTATAAAGCTGCATAATATGGAGTAAGTAAAGTACAAGTATCAAATCCTATCTCAGGTTCAATACTAGTAAATGTACTTAGTTGTATTCCACCACCGGTGAACATGCAGGCTGTAAGAGTCACACCTCAGCCTCTAAACCACTAGAGTGCAGCAGAGTATTTTGTGTGTCAGCAGTCCTGTAAATACACATCCTCAGCCAGTTCTCTGGTGTAGCCACTACATGTTAGTATTATACAATATTGTCTTTTCACATGTTTTTGGTTTTTTGTAATTTGTTTGAGAATTGCTATTATGACTATAATATGCTATTATTATGAGTTACTCCTTCAGTAAATGGAGAGACTGGACTTTATAAAAGTCAAGTGAACCAAAAACAGCAGAATAAGATATATTTGCAGTTTCACATCCACTATATATATATATATTGGTCAAGAGAATTAAACTAAAAGAAGGGTTAAACACTGATTGAATTATACTGAAAAGCACTCAGGAGTTATAACGTATTTATTCTTAATTTATTCAATTTCTGAAATTACAAATAAGCCACTCTAGCTTTACATAATGATGAACATATGCTTTCTCGTTCAAAGCAAAAAACACTGTTCAACCTTCTTATATGACTGATTATATAATTACTATATACATATTATATTATTATCATATTATAACTACTTCATACATACAATAGACATGTGCTTAAAAAGGCAGAATCCATCATGTCTGATAGTTCTCACTGTATTTTTAATCGATGTTGTCGTCTTTGTTGTTATGTACTCTGTGTCAACTTCTTTGCTACTGCAGCAAAACTAATTGCCCCTTGGGGACAAATAAAGGTCTTGAACTTGAACTTGAACTACATTTGGATCTATTTGAAATAAATTGACAAAAGCCACATTTAATGGGAGAAAGATTCACATCTTCGGACACCACACACACTGTAGTATGATTTGTCTGGTATGACTTAGTTCTGTATATATACAAGCCAATATGATAGAGGCATAGACCAAATTACTGTGTATTGAATGGCATTAGATGTCAAAGAGCTTGTGACTTGGCACGTTTATCATTAGGTCAAAGTTGCTGTAGCCATGTGTGAGGGATTATGCTCCTCTCAATCCCTCCTTATCCTGCAGCTCACACAAACATCTGAAGAGTCTTTACTTTCACTCTGATGCTGCTCTAGGAGGTAGTGAGGGATTTTCTCGTCATTACATGACATCCACAGCTAGTCAGGAGTAGGGTCTCGTGCTTCCTGTATTGTTTTTTTTTTTTTTTTTTTGATGGATGAAAGAGCAGCTCAAGGAATTTCTCCTGCTCATCCAGTGTGTCATGAGGCAGACAATAACCTGGACAGGAAGGAGGTCTCAAAAACACCACTCCTAGAAAGAGTAAGTCTTCTGATGAATTTCAAACCCTCCAACACTGAATTTGCACATTTGCAAGTGACATCAAGCACTGACATCCAAAAAGCTAAATTATAAAATGAAAATATATATCCCAAAAATGAGGCTGTGACCTTTTAATCTTTTTTTTCATGCAATCTTGAGTTCATGCGAGTTCATGCTTCAGATCTGGTTTGCTTTGTAACACCAGGTGACAATCCTTTACTACAGTGTACCTTCGGTGACCTTACTCCCTGTCACTTTAAAGGACACAATGTCACTGCTGATTCTTCTCACTGAATCACTCTGACCTTTAAT